GGTGGGGGAGGCACTGCGGAGTGGTGGGGGGCGGCCCGAGGGGCTGGGAGAGGGTCCGGCCCACGCTGTGCCTGGGCTGGGACTGGTCCCGCCGGCGCATGGTAGCAGGAAACTCTCCGCACACTCACCGGACCTGGGCTAGGACAGGGTCTCTCATTTTATCATTTTTAAAGCCCCAAAATATTCTCTCTGACTGCCACAGTGATAGGTGGGCAGAGTGCAGGTCCTCAGGATAGTGGGAGGGCAGGGTAGGCTCAACAAAGCTCCTGCAGTGTGGGGTTCAATGTGACTTAAAAATATGGAATGCTTCACAAATTTGTGTGTCATTCTTGTGTAGGGGCCATGCTAATCTTCTCTGTATAGTTACAACTTCTTAGTATATGTGCTGCCAAAGTGAGCACCCATTTATGTATAAAAGCCTTGAGTTTATCTTTTTTATAGCTGAGTAATACTCCATTCCATAAAAATACCACATCTTTTTTATACATTTCTCAATTGATGGGCATTTAGGTTGGTTCGAAGATTTAACTATGATAAACTGTGATGCTATAAACATGGGTGCATATATATTGCTATAATGTGATGTTCTCAGTTCTTGTGGAAAAATATCCATGAGGAGAATAGCTGGGCTAAATGGGGACTCTAATCATATCTTTTGTGGAATATCCACACTGATTTTCATAGAAGCTGTACCAGTTTACATTCCCAGCAACAGTGGAGAAGGGTTCCTTTCTCCCCACAGTACCTCCAACATTTATTATTGGTTAACTTTTTCTTTCTTTCTTTTTTCTTTTGGCAGAACCAGGGATTGAACTCAGGCCCTTGTGCTTGCCAGGCAAGAGCTTATTCTACTGAGCTATCTCCCTGGCCCCAAGGTTAATTTCTTCATGACAGCCACTTTTTTTTCTGGGGTAAGATGGAATCTCAGTGTTGCTTTAATTTGTTTTTCTAAAATGATCAATGACGTTGAACATTTTTTCATATATTTATTTCTGTAGATAGAAGTTATTCTTCTGAGGGACATTTGGCTAAATTTTTTCCCAATTAGTGGATTTTCTTTTCACTCTGTTGGTGATTTCTTTTGACCTGCAGAAACTTGTCAAAAAGATGAGAACTCAATTGTGGATTCTTTGAAGTATTTCCTATGCAGTTTTTTTTTAATAGTTGTAATTTCAGTTTTCTTTTTATTGAGAAATAAGTAGCAATAAGACAGTTTCAAAACTGATTAATAAAACAGTTTCAATAATTAATACATTGTACATTGTTATCTTCTTAGTGGTTATCCATAGTACAAGATGCAGACATGACATCCTGTCCAAACACTATTAGCACAAATCTTTCTTCTCATTGAATGATGCGAAAGTAGCTTATATCTATCCTAACTATTCTGCATATACAGACAAAAAATGGTCCTTCCTTTATATCCCATTTTTTGTTTAGTCCTGTCAGAAATGGGTATTTCATTGGCCTCTAAGTACTATAGGTGTGTGAATTCAGCAAAACAATCCAACCCAGTCCTGCAGTCCACAGTAGTAGTGGGTTATCCCCAGAGGTTGTTGACTTGAGCTTTTCACAGCTCAGCATATTAATATGGCTTCACTTTATATATCTTGTTTTTATACTTTTCTGCTGGACAGTTAAGACCAACATAAAGCAAGACCTATATAACGAGAAATGTAATTTTTGTATCTGAGAAGGTTGATCAAGTACCCTCAGGATTTATCCTGTAACCCTATACTATAGGTTGCAGATCCTTTGTCAGTGTCAGCCACATGGACAAGTCTCGGCCATTGCTTGACTAACTTGCTCTCTGTGAAAGGCTGAGAGAATGTTCTCTCTCCATGGGACTCTCCTTTGGCACACCCTACATCATTGATCACATTACTCTGTGACCCCGTAATCTCCTTGATCAGAAAATCTGGGACACAATTGAGTTACATGATGTTACAGTATAAGTTCTCCTATGTCCTGAGTCCTCACTGATCATGAAAGGCTATCCCATGAAGTTTGGAATTGTTCATTTACTCTCTATCTATCTCTGTATCTTCAAGATTTCCACAAACTTTCTCTGTAGTTGGTTTAGTGTCTTTGTTTAATATTTAAATCTTTGAATATAGGAAAATTGATGTTTGATACATTTTTACTTTCGTTTAATGCATGGTGATAGACGTGGGTCTAATTTTAGACTTGGGTATGTGGAAAGCCAGTTTTTCCAGCACCATTTGTTAAAGAGGCTATCTTTCTTCCAGTGAACATGTTTGATACCTTTGTCAAAGATAAGGTGGCTGAGTGTTCTTGTAGTCTGCATCTTCTAATCTGATCTATTGATCCTAATTTCTGTTTTTTTACCAGTACCATGCTGATTTTATCACAGTAGCTTTGTAGTATAATTTCACATCAGGGATTGCAATGCCTCCTGCCTTTCCTTTTTTGTCTAGAATTAGCTTTACTATGGTTTGGGCTGGGGAGATAGCTGGGTGGTTTAAACACCTGCCTGGCAAGTGCAAGGACCAAGGTTTGATTCCTGGTACCACATGCTGCTCTGGCCCTACCCCACCCCAACCAGCTACCATAGCACTCACCTATTATCCCAGTGCTGGGGAGGCTGAGACCCTATACTGTATACATAAATAAATAAAAGATTTAATACTTTTACTATGGCTTATAGTTTTCATAAATGACTATTTCACATTGAAGAAGTAATTAGTGCAGTTTTCATAAATGACTATTTCACATTGAAGAAGTAATTAGTGCAGTGTAGTTTTGTAGACCAGAAAAAACATATCAATAGAACAACTGGTGAAATTTAAATAAGGACTAAATTAATTAATTAATTTTACTGCATGAATATTAATTTTCCATCTTTAATAATTGTGCTATAGTTGTACAAAATGAAAACAGTATAGAAAAATGGGTGAGGGCATGTGGAACTGCATATAGTTTTCTAAAACTCTTTTGTAAATCTTAGATGGTTTCCAAACAGAAAAGGAAGAAAATAGTCTTTTCTGAACTATGTAAAGGTAATTACTCATTTTCAGATTTGTTTAATAAAGTGAGGCAGAAATTATGCAGAAGAAAAAACTTGGTATATAACATTAAAGAAATTTTAACTTATGGTACTTTTTCTAGAAAAGTAATGCTCCACAGAAGTGATAATGGTTCATAAACTAATCATATTTATCAAAGGGATAGAATAGATTGATAGAATCTGACTTTCATGAAGATGTTCTTACCATTTTGATTTATTTTCCTGATTATAAATCCTTCTTGATTTAAATAGATGAATTTAACTGTAAACAAAATGTAGTGATCATACTGAAAGGCTTTTGGTGTATATCATCATTTAAAATAGATCAATTAAAATAATATAAAGAAAAATCTGGACTAATTTAATTCTGAATTCTGATAATAGCTTTCAGTCTTGAAATCTCAGTATCAACAGAGACTTTTTTTCTTTTTCTTTTTGTTTTTCAAATTTGTTACCTGAATGGATAGTTCTATTTTTTCAAATGCCTGTATTATAGAATCCAGGAAGATGCATGAAAATATCCATGACTCTCCAAAAAGAAATGAAATTGGGTGCAGACTTAATGCCTGTTCAATTTGGGTGATGAATGTATTTTTATCTTCTATACCATAGAATATCAATACACTGATTTTGAAAAATACAGCAAGAAACAAGAATGAAAACAGTCAGATTTTTAGTTTGATTATCAGTGTGTGTACAGGTAGGTATAAGTCCCTTGCAAAGACTCAGTTGAATGTGTGGATTTTGTAGAAAGAAAAAAAATTGCTAAGTTTTTGGTAACCCACCTCTTTTTTTAATTATTTGGTACAAGATCTCATTACACAGCTCAGACTCGTAGCAATCCTCCTATCATAACCTCCGCAGCACTGGGATTACAGTTGTGCATTACCATCAGCAGTCTTGGTGTGTGGCTGTGTGCCCAGGGGTGGGCCCAGTGTGACATGTGGTGTCGGGGATCAAACCCCAGTCCCTGTGCTTCCTAAGCAGGTGCTTCGTCTGCTGAACTATCTAACCCACCTTTAAGGTGGGTAGAAGCTAACCTTTTTTTATGCAGTGCTTGTTATATGCCAGGCTCTGGGCTTTGAGCGTTCCACACTAACACATGTAATCATCACAACTTTAGAGATAGATATTAATTATAATCTCTACTTTTTAGATATGGATATCATGTCACAAAGCTGACCTAATTTGCTCCAGTGGCTAGTAAGTGGTTTAATCAGGATCCCTATCTGTCTGTACATTCTGGCTCCAGGGTTATGCTTTCAACCAGTACACTGTATTTAGTGTTACTCAGACTTTGCTTCCTTTATGTATTATGCTCAATTTTGTGTAATGGGCACATGTCATAAATTTTCTGTTGATTCTGACTATATGCAAATAATAGCTAACACTTTATAAAAATTTATTAGAATTAAATTCCCAAAACAAGTATGTAAATATTAATGTCTTCATTTTGAAAACCAAGGTTAAGTAACAGTCCTTAGGGAGACATCCAGTAATTAACCAAGATGAGTGTCATTGCCAAAAAGCCACAGGATCAAAATTCCTATTCTTATACACTGGACTTCAAACTAACTTTGGAGAATTGCTATTTCCCTACATATATATTCTTCCATATTACAGAGTTTGGGTGACTGAAATATCACCCCATTTGGATTTCATTTCTGAGATAATCTCGAAGCTGTATTTGTCTATGCAAGAAACCTGAACCTAGTGGAACTTGAGCAGAAGGAAACACTAACTTCTACCAAGAAAATTGCTTACCCTGGACTTTTCTTATTCATGTTGGGGAAGGCAGAGAGTTCTATACTGGCTCAGATCTGCCAAACAGTAATACTATATTTCTTCTGTTTAGAGATAAAACTGCTCTATCCTATATTATTTGAAGAGTTCTGATGTCAGGAATATGTTCTGCATTCTGGCAAAGAAAGAATGGTAGATAAATAGATGGTAGTTTGTAGATAGTAGAGAGATTTATATCAAAGCAATATAATTTCTACCATAAAACAACTGATTTATGTGGAAGAACAATTAGAATTTTCTAAATGATCAGCAAATGGCTATTAGTACAGGATCTAAAAGTTCTGAAAACAACTGTCTAGGTTCTAGGCTTATTTAATTTGTCAATGTTAAGTTTTGTGGTAAACACCTATAATCCCAATACTAAGGAGGCAGAGGCAGTAGGACTCCTATGAATTTGAGGCTAATCTTGGCTACATAGTGAATTCAATACCAGCCTGAATCACATAGTGACACCTTTCTTGTTATACGCATATACATATATATATTTTTCTCCAATGAATTTGCATTATTTTTATATTAATTTTTTAAAAAGAGAAAATAAAAGTAGAACACATATACAAATGACATAGA